GTAAATGTACAACATTTATCATTTACAAAAGTAATTTATTTCGGAGCTCTGATGAGTTGGCCTGGAAAGGCACACTCGCACCAGTCCCAACGTTGAAAGAAAAAGTGGTAGTAATCTTTACTACTTGGGCCAACGGGCATCGGGAAATGTGGAACTCCAAGGTATTTCTGGTAGAATATCGACCAGAGGTGTTGAAGGGTTATTCCTTTGCTCTCGCAGCATCTAAATACTCTTAATTCTGAAGGACATCGGCAGGAAACTCTCCGTTAGGTATTCACGCGGTAAGACTATCCTCTCTGATGCAGCTGCTTAGAGGATGATTAGGTGGAATTATCTCAAACTTTTTTAAACTGACCTGCTTTTGCGTAGCTGAAGTCTCAACGCCTTGGATCAAATTTTTCAACCAGCCCAGAGAAGCTCTCGTGAACTGACAGCTGTCGCTTGCGAAACTTTGTTCTTGACACACAGCGTTTTTCGCTATAGCTTAGCAGTTATCTTTCGAACATAGTAGTATCTAGCCTTATCTGATCACAAAAGAACTCGATTATGTACCCGAATACATAAAACTAGGATTTTCCTCTTAAAATTAAATGTCTAAGAGAAACTCTAGAAAACCAGAGCTGAAAACTCAGTTCAATCTAAAGTAAAATCGAGACAAAAAGTTTTCTGAAATTGTTGGAGAAACTTTAGTAAGCCTCGTTGTCTGAGACTGACTATGTAATTTTGGTGTATACATAGCTTTCATCAGACCGATCATCTCGAATTTTTCTTTCGTATGGCAGGGTGGAACCACGATCAAAACCACAGATCCACCTAGGCATAACGGGCGCCACGAGTATAATGACAAGGGCGGCTCTTAATGCTTTGTTGGATGTGATACACCTAAATTTAGCTATTTGGATTCCGAGGCGCAGAGATTGGTTCAGAGGGTTTCCAGAGCAATACCCTTCGTGAATTTTGACGTAGAATACGTCTTATGTTTCGATATGGAGGCTATGTTGTAGTTGTAATTTTTAGAGCTTTACGAAAACGCTTATTGCACGAGAACTAATGAAGCAATTTGAAAGAAAAGTGTGGCGTTTCAAAGATATAATTCGAAACTAAATTCATTTTTGAAAGTAACCAATTCGGTTTCTGTCGGAGAAATAAATATTGTAAATATTGGCTTATTTTGTGATCAATGTGGAGCCTTTAAAGTGCTCTAGCTACTTACGATTTGCAGGTTAAACTTTCATTTTCAAGATATAGGTTCTTTGGAGCAACAGAAATATTATCGTGTACAAATTTTATATAAGTTCAACAAATATTGAGCATTTTAATGCAAAAAATTGTTAAAAAAATTAGCAAATTTTTTTTTCCAAAACGCTCGAAAACCGCTCGTATAATTTTTTTTTTATTTTCTTTAATCAAAAACTCAAGATTTTTCCATTCGTTTGGTATGGTTGATATCTTCTAAGTATGTTTATTGATTCAAATATATGGACATAAATAATTTTCCATACAAAAGCACTTCGTCATCATTTTGCAAGCACGTGCATGCGCTGGAAGTGAGAGAAGGAGACAAAAGGTAAGGTGTGTCGGTATTTCGGCTTTTGAATAACAGATGGCGCAATATTTATAAAAGGCAGGGGTGAAGGGGAATGTGTAGATGAAGAATATGATAAACATAAAAGTAAAAATAAATAATATATATAAAGAAAAATATGAGGATGAGGACACCGATCAAAGTAAAGATGAAGATAGAGGAAGAAAGATTTAAATAAAGGTAATTACAGAAAAAAGGATATATGTAGACAGAGACTAAATCTGGCGGCTATTTCTGGATTTTAGAGATTTTCCAAATTCTCGGGACTTATCGGTATAGTAATCGATATTTTATCGGTTTTTTTATCTATATTTTTTATAGATTTAGTTATCGAAATTTTTATCGATATGGTTATTGATTTATATAATTTTATCGATATATATAATAAACGATATTTTTATCGATTTGGTTCTCGATATTTTAATCGATTTTGTAACCGATTTTTTTATAGATGTTGTAATCAATTTTGTTATCGATATTTTTATCGATTTTGTTATCGATATTTTTATCGATTTTGTTATCGATATTTTTATCGATTTTGTTATCGATATTTTTATCGATTTTGTTATCGATNGCCATCGATATTATTGCCGTTTTTGTTATCGAAATTTTTTCTTAGTGTGTGCTTTCGTTTTTAACTTGGATGTGCTCTTAACCATACCACGTATTCTACGTCTAAATTTAGCGGCTGTGACCAAGACGAATGCGCTGGACTGTTCCTTTTTTGCCCTATCCTCTTCATCTAGGCTTTAAGTACAACGGGAAAATTTGTATGCGTGAGTGCTTGGAAAATTGATCTGAGTTTTCCGGCTTACCATGTAGAGACTCACTTTTGGTTATTGAGGCAGTTTTTGCAGATCAAAAAAATGAAACCGAACTTGTTATATCACATCACATTACATTAAATGTTTAATATTTTGTGATGTAGATGTGTGATCTCGAAATATCGAAATATCGCCGATGACTATTAACCATCCAGATATTTCTCAGTGCGGCCTTAGAGGGCAAGCCTCTACTACTACTCGTAGCGATTGAGATTAAAGCCTCAGATTTTCTAAATGTTAATGACAATAATTGCTGTGGTGGTAATCTGCTCTTTATGGATGATTCTGCTTAGCTGGAATCAAATTGTTCGAGAAGTACGGTAGTGTCAAGTGTCTTCACTAGTGGGAAATGAGAGTTATAGGATGATATGAATACCCTTTGTGCGACGGTTTCCCAGGTGATCGTAGTGGAACCACTTTTTCAGACTTTTACATATCTGTGTGGTGAGCTCGTCTACTTCCGTTGTATACACTCTTTTATAATTGCAACTGCTTTCTTTCTAAATATTAATCGAGCACTAACCGCCAAAAAAAACGTAAGTGATATTTTTTTTTCAAAATTTCATTTAAATGCAGAAATGCCTCTAGTAGCTCTAGGAGCATTTCTGCGTCAAACATAAAGTTTCGAAAAAATGCCACTTATGTTTTTTTGATGGTTAGTGCTCGATATTCTTTGGTAAACTCATGTACATACATATGTATATTTTTAATGCATTTCAATCTTCATAAAAAATCTACTCTTGTACACTCGCCATTTCAGAAGCCAACTAAGCGTTTGTTCAGAGCCACCTGCAGCCATACACCAACTATCCGGTCAATCGAGCTTGGAACCTTGTTTCCCTGAAGAGAACATCGATAATACAGATGAAAAATCGCCTGGCAGCGTCAATGGCGTAGCGTTATCACCGGATGCGCTTAACGTTGCCATACAAACTGTTTCGATGACATCTGTACACCAAGTAGAGGATTGTGCGTCGCCGCCGCCACCTCTGCCCAAAAAATTGAATAGCATCCTAAAGAAGGCACGTCCCGAAACGCTTTCGCTCGCATCATCCAGCGTGAAACCCACTGTAGCAAGTGAGTTGAATAAATCGCTCTGCCGCAGCAATTCTTCGCGCACATTCTATCGACCAAAGTCCCAACTGCCTAACGAATCAGACGATAGTATCTTCTTTATACGTTCGTCAAGTGAGCGACAAAGTATCGATAGTAATGACCTATACGATTCTGTGCAGGTAATAAACGAAAGGCGAACAACGCTGTTGCGTACAGAGAGCGAAGCAGCGCTAAGCAGTAGTGTGCAAAAAGCAGGAAGCTTCTCGCTTTTAACTGAAATACCCGAGCGCGCGCAAAACAATTCGATAGATGTGGAAGGTTGTAGTACAACTACCGGCGTTAATGACGCAACGATGACGGCACAAAAAGAAATCACCGTGGAAATTGAGCCTGAGGAAACATCACTACCGTTAAATCAAAAGCAGGAATCACAATGTGAACCAAAGAGTACATAAATCGAATGTAATGTATGTATGTATACAGAGGATACAAATAGCAAATAATAACTTATTTATGTATATGTATGTAATGTATGTAATGTAGAAGCCCTTAGCGATAGGCACGTTTTATACCAAAAGTTCAGAAAACATAGGCAAGTACATACTATTTACTAGCGTTGGTATACATATACTTTGTTATAACTAGGAATGAAACTTCAATTAAATCAGTTAGTGAATTACGATTAACAAGTGTATTTATTAACAAATTCAAACAATTGTTTCAAATTAGGATAAAGTTACATACACTCCCATGCACTTGAATAGGGACAATGCTTTTTCTTGCGCTTCTTTCTGGGTTATTTTTCTTTTATTTAATTCAGGCGACCAAAACTTATAGTTATTTTCAAAATTTCAATTCAGAAAAGTCAGTTGGAAAAAAAGTCAGTCATTAAACGAAATTTTAAAAATCAACTAGAATTGAATAGATTACAAAACTGCCTACTGAAAAAAAGTGTACAAAATTTTAAATTTAGATGAACATTTAATTAATTTTTTATTTATTTTTTATTACTATTATTTTTTTTTTTTTAGAGAACACCATACGGCAAAAATAAAACAGTTTGAAAACACACGAAACAATCAATATGGTCCCCAAACTAGTTCTCTCTGATGTCAGGCTTTTGAAAAGGACTTTGAAATTTTAAAGATATTATTAATTCAAAAAATGTTTAAAAGAATTATGTTCAACGTGGGATAGTAATGTGGGTACCAAATGAAAGAGAAAATTCTGTAGAATTTTAAAACTAAAGTTTTTTGGATCACAAGGACGAAAAGATACTTATTGAAAATGTGCTTTTAATTATTTTACTTTTTTCCAGCTAATATAGTTAGAAGGATGAAATTCTAGGATGTGGTCGTGTTTATATTAATACTTAACAAATAATAAAAAAAAAAAAATTTGAAAACTTTCAAGGTTATTAAGGTATACAATTTTAAAAGAACATTTTCAATATCTATTCATCCTTGTGCAGCGGAAAACTTAATTTTTTCCATTTCTAATAATAATTCTATATTTTTTTTTTTTTATTTGATAAGCTGATTATTATTCTATATTACACTAAATTTTTTAAATGTTTTTTTTTGTTAATTAATTATACCCGTGTAATTTAAAGTTGTTCTTAAAAGTCCTGATAGAGAAAATACTAAAAGCAGCTATGAGAGTTTCGGCCCCTTGATTTTTGTCTTTTTGTGTGTGAATTTGACTGTTGCACGGTGGCATGAACTGCATTTTAACTGAGAAATAATGAAAATTTATTAAAAGAAATATATCCCAGAAAAAAGGGAAAAAGCATTTTCGCTATTCAAATATGTATTATTTAGGAAAGTGCAGTGCTTTCGAAACTCTTGTAAATTCTCAACCGATTTAAGTTCATTTGGATTGATAAAAGGTGAGTTTTTACTAAGACCAAACAATGGCGCTACAGCCTTTTCCTAATAAATAATTTAAATAACATTTGAGACAAATCATTATTGTTGATTAATCGCTGTAATTTTTCATAGGAAAATTATTAGTTATTAACAGTTTCAGAAACGACACCGAAATCCTTGTCAATAACTACGTAAAGTTTTTTTTTTTGTTGTTGGCAATTCCTTCAGGGTAGATATATGATATATTTTGGGACGAATTTCCGGCATTCATTGCAACCGAAGATGTCACAATAACAAAACCGGTTTGTTCTCAAACCAAATTTCACAATAAATGTAGGAAATTTGTTCGAAAATACATCAATAGTGTAACCGCCTTCACACGTACATATACGTACATTAGGGGCACAATAAATTTGAATAAACACATATAAACATACCTCGTTCTTCTCATTCCTATTTAACCTTATGCGAGGGTTGATTTGGTGAATTTTTTTTTTTTTTGCTAATAACAAGAAAAGTATTTATTTGTTAAATACAAAAAGCTAACTGAAGACCATAGAATTTCATTACTATAAACATAGGAATCGTTCCTCAATAATAAATAAATTAATAAATAAATATTAAATTAACGTTAGATTTCGGCGAATGGATATGGTCAAACCCTTCTTCGGAACCTTACACAAACTTGTCTCGTTATTGAATCTTTACGTGCATGTAGTGACCGAATTTTATATATAGATGCTGGTGGCAGAAGACTGAAAAAACCAGGCTTGGCATGTTTCTCCGCCACTTGATCGACAAGAACCTGCTCAACTGCGGCTTTAGAGTCACTTCTAGGATGGACTTTTCGCCATATTTTTATTCAGGAAATTGCAGCGGCGATGAAGCTGCAGTTTCGACTATCCAACGACAGTCTATATTGAAAAAAACTTCATGCAGGTATTTTTGGAAAGATGCCAGAAAGAAAGTTCTAAGTGAAAACTGGAAAACTCGGAAAACGGACTCCCTGCGTACCCTTTGCAGTTTAGAGCTATAGAAATTCAGATTAGAATTCCTTAATTATGTCATTGGAAATACGAGATTAACGCAAAAATTTAACGTAAATGAACTGCGAGTTAAGTACGGGAAATCAATGGATTTCGCCCTACAGTACTTGGTTAGTAATATCGAAAGAGTCCGCTAATCTACGGAAATAGCAATGGCAAAAAATTACAGATTCCAAATCCCATACCGACGGATGTTGGCTCATCTTTCCTTTATCTACCCCTTTCAAACCCGAATTAAAATGGGTGGGGCTAAAATTTACTTCCTACAGTCATGATTGCCCTATACAAAAAAAAAAAATACCAAGTTTATACTCATTTTTTGCGGTTTTGTGCCAAGCTACATATGTACATACATGATTTCATCTCGTTCTCGTCGAATATTTTATCTCTTCCGCGAGACGAATGAAACTACAGTGACGAGAAAAACAATCGCACTCTAGTAGTGAATATGTGTTCTGTAGTAACTACAAAATTTCCGCTGCATATCGGTATGTAATATAAAATCTAAGATTTATTTATGTCAATTTACGAAAACAACTAAAAGTTGAAACGAATCTATTAACTATTGCACACAGAACAATGTGTTTTTAAGAAGTTGAATTCATTTTAATTTATTGTTTTAGCATTAGTAACTGTATTTCAATCTTTTTACTAAGTACTGCAGCAACAAATCGGTCTTCCTTGCTCAAAAACTATTTAAATACATTTACTACATAAGTATATAGTTGCATGCACACAGTGACGGATTAAAAAATATAGAATAAAAATATAAATTATAATTAAAAATTTCACAATAATTTTATTTTATTTCTTTTTTTCACTAGGGGCATATACATGATTTTTATCATAACTTTACGTCACTTACATGTTGACAACATTTGACTATTTATTTTCTTATTTTTAATTTGAATTTTTTGTTTATAAAAATATAACTTATTCTTAACAAGTATGCAGTTATGTAGTCCATTCAATTTTAGTAGAATAAAGTGCAGGTTTAAAGTTGCTGGGACTTAACGTTGATTATTGGCATTTTTTTATCGTTGAAAGTGGTGCTCATTTTCTCCATATAAAAAAATCGTCAAACATTCTTCGTATGAAAAAAAAAATTACTGACAACCACAACAAAAGAAGTCCAAAAATCAACGGAGAGCCTCAGCTTCTTCAAACATGCAGTTTGTTATACTAAAACTGAATTGGCTACAAAACTGCATACTCAAGATCTTTCTAGGAAGTCTACTTAAAAAGCTCGAAATTTTTGCGGAGGTTTGTTGATTTTTTTTTCAAATATTGCACAAACATTGACTCTTGCATTTATACGTTTTTTGTTGAAACGTAAACTAGACTTTTATAAAATAATAATTAAAATTAAAAAAAAAGTAATCAAATCTTGTCAATATGTGAGTGTCGTGATAAGAACTATACTTTTGGACCATTGTTTTGTTTAAATCTATAAAATATACATTCAAGACTGATGTATGTATGTAAAGAATTTTTTTTTTTTTAATATTTCTAATAGAAGAAAGTATTTAAAGAGGAATTTAATCAAACAGTTGCAAGCGCAATCTTACTATATTTATAGTATTTATATGAGCAAATCTGACGAGTTGTTACATTTTTCGACAAAAACGTGGTTTTGTCGCAAATGGTGGCACACTTTTCTTAGATAATGCACTGTCTTCACTTTTGCATAAAGAACAAGATTTAATCGCGAAATTCTATTTAAACGAAAACTTAAAAAGGATATACTTAAAAAAAAGTCAAAATAACAACTCGTGCTCATGTACCCGTAGTTGTGTATGTAAAGTATACGCCCCGTAGCACCATACACAGTCAGCTAACACGTTTAAGTATCTTCAATTACTAAAATTAAAAAATCTTAAATTCTGAAAAATTACAAAATAGCTGCGACAGATATTCTGTATGCTGTAATTTCGTTTAATTTGGTGGCACACTCTTGAAACTTCACAGTTATGTTGTATTTGATGCCAACGTCGATTGTCTCTAATATGAGCATTATAGTTGAAAACTTCCCAAAGTTATTAAAAAAAAAACAGAGTGGCAATGAAAAAAATTGTAACTTCGGTGCTTTTTCGACTAAATAAACGTTTTAAGGCTCAAATACTTGATTTATTTTTTATTCTACTTGTTTCTGGACTGTTTATTGATTGAAGTAAACAAAAAGAATGCTTTAGCGTTTTTTGTTCTGAAGACAGAAGGGAGTGACACTAAAAAACAACTCGTGAGATTTGCTTATGAAAGGCCATGAGGGCCAGCGTAGCATATCCACCAAAATAGTAAACATGATGAGATAATAGAATAACCTATTATTTTAGCATTTGTTTGGTAAAATACAATAAATTAATTTCAGCTATCTGTTGCTAACTATTACAACGTGAGAAAAATACCTCTAACAATAAGAAATAACTTTCTTATATATGGCCTCATATATACATCTTTTTTTGTATCAAAAATATTTGATTTAAGAAAAGTATGCTTTTCTATAACTATCAATCGCTTAAATATATACGTAATTATATGATGAACTGTGTATAGTTAAAATATTTGTTATTCGATTACACATACATATTTATACTGTTAGATATCAATTAAACCGTTAACGGAAGTTATTTATGATAACCACTAACTAAATAGGTCTATTCATACGAGTTGTCTACTACATATTGATTGAATCTATAGGGCATAAAAATATTCTTGTTTTCGTAAGAATCGAAACCGACGAAAATTTTCCTATCATTTTCTATACAAAAATTTAAAATTTTCGATTAGTACGAAAACAAGAATACGCCTCTATAATTCAACTGAAAAGAAACGTCTACTTCCAAGCAAACTTGAAAATCAACATAAAAAAAAAAAATATCAAAAAGCACGAAATAAGCCACC